CTCAGATCCTCCACCACCTTCGGTATTGCTGGGAGTGCTGATGGTTCATCTCTCAGGAATATTCTTTTTACCTCATAAACAGTGGAATTGCACTTTTCTGTGGATGCTTAGTGCGAGAAACTCTGATTTAAAAAATGGGTAATTATCAAAAAATGAAATGAAACATGGTATAATATGATTAGATTTTAATTTAGAAAACACAATAGTGATATGATCAGATTTTAATGCATGATTGTGTTTTGCATCCAGCATTGATTTCTTCCTTTCTGGGTAAGAGTACTCATTTTTGTTTGAAGAACTACCCTGCTCCCAGTCTCCAAGGGCAGCATGGGATCTAGGCCTGACCAAAAAAAATTAACACATTCTCTAGCCATACTGATTGATTTAAGAATTAGTACACACTCATAGCCAGGACAATCAGGTCTAATTTTAAGATTTGTTTTCTTTGACAAGTAAGCAAGAAAGACATTTTCTTTCCTACTAGAATAACTGTGAATGAAATAAGCCAAAAATTGTCAATGGTCATCATTCAGAAAACATCTCTAAGCAACAGACCATAACGAATAAATCAGGAGAGAGAGAGAAAGAGAGAGAGAGAGAGAGAAGTGGGCCTGAATAAAATTATATGAGTTATTAAACACATGTTTACATTAAACCAAGCCTAAATCCAAAATTATTACTGAACTTTTTACTTGTGAGTCAAAAGATTCCTCTTTTATCTAAGCATAGTTGACTGACTTTTCTTTCACTTGCAATTGAAAAAGATGTAATATAAAAATTCTGCATTCTTCATTTGGAAATATACAATGCTATTCTCCATTTGGAAATTTATAATGTATATTAAAATTTCTGAGTAGCTTTACAGTAAAGAAATTAATTTACTCTTTTTTCCTTATTTGACAAATATTTATCCAGAGTTTGCCATGTTTAAAACACTGTCCTAGATTTAGTGACTCCAGTTATGTCAACGATAGACTCAGAACCTGCTAATATTGAGCTTATAGTTAAAGAAAACATGTTTTAATGGAATATCACAGTGTCTAAGTGTTTTCTACGGTTTGGATGAGTTTTATCCTCACCAAAACTTACGTTGAAATTTGATTCCAATGTGACAGGGTTGGGAGGTGGGGCCTAGTGGGAGGTGTTTGGGTCATGGGAGCAGATCCCTCACGAATAGATTAATGCTGTCTGGTGGAAAAGAGTTTTCACCCTCAAGGAACCATGTTAGTGACCACAAGAGGATTTTGCCTTCACATATTTGGTCTCTGCACATGCCTGCTTCCATTTAAGCTTTCCGTCACAAGTTAAAGAAGCATGAGACCTCACCAAATAGGCTGCCTGATCTTGGATTTGCCAGCCTCCAGAATTGTGAGCAAAATAAAATTCTCTTCTTTATAAATTACCCAGTCTCAGCTATTTCTTATGACAACACAAAATGGACTAAGACAGTGTTCTATATAACACAGTTTAGGACATTCTATTCTGAAAGCACCTCATTAATTTTTTGTTATATTAAATAATATGCTTGACTAAAGAGGACTGGCTTCCCTTCAATTTGCTGAAAACTCTTGCAATGACTTTGATCTGTAATATTTGTGAACTATTTGTTTATTACACTAACTCTTCCTATAGATTATTTTTGTTCTGTGTGCTTCTTAATGCCCCTTTTTTCCACCGGTGGGTATTCTAGACTTTATTATATGAGGTTATTTCATCCATTACACAAATTCTAAGCACTTCTATTTCTGTTACTGTGACAGACCTTGAAAATTTTGCAGTACATAAAAACAGATAAACAGTGCTTTTATGGAGCTTTTGGTGTCATAGAGGAGACAAGACAATAATCATGCACATAGGAATGTTTTTCTCTCTTAGCCTGCATACCAACAAGTCCTTCCTTGGCCATTCCATTTTATATGGCAATTCCCACACTTTGCTCTTATAGTTTTGACCGCTCTGTTTGCTTTTCTTTCCCATAGCCCTCACCTTCCTCCGACATACTATGTGTTTTACTTGTTTGATTATTTTCTGTGCCCTCTGCCAGGATATAAGTTCTGTTGGGAAAAGAACATTTGTCTGTTTAGTTCACTGCTTTATTTCCAGACTCTAGATCAATGTTTGGTATATAATATGCATATATTAAATGTTTGTTTACTAGGACTATATCATATATAAAATAATAAAATAAATCATACACATATCCTCTCAATAAGTCTATTTTGTATTTCACTATAAGGCAACACCAAAGAAGTGCTTTTGAAGTGTTTTCATGAAGCAACATGTATTTCATGATAGGTTAACATGTTACATCCTGTGGCAAATTTTTTTAAGGTATAAAATGTACAAAGGTGAGCAAACTGGATACTAACAAAATATTCTTCACGACACTTAAAGATGTTTTATTTTATAATATTAAATATGCAAAATTACATTTATCACAGATGGAAAGTTATAAAATTCTTATATCTATTTTAAATATTGGCTTTAGAATATTACTATAAGTTGCAAAAATAAAAGAGCATTTTTCAAGGCAAGGAAACACCATAACAGCTTTGCTTTTGTACCGAGAGGGCTGGGAGGAAGAAAAGCATCTTTTCAGAAACAATGACGACGTTTTCTCATGTAAACCAAAGATTAAGGTTTCTCTTTAATCTTTGGTTAAAAGATAGGTGAAAATAGACAAGTTAAGAGAAGATTGTTCATTCCTATAAATATTCTTTTGAATCCTTCTGGTTTTGAAATGAAGCAATATGTAAAAAGGAGTTTACTGTATTGTTCTTTTTTAGGTAGTTTTGTTCTGGTTCCAAGAATAAACCTGGAGAAGATTAGCTGTACTGTTCTTACACATTTTGTTTTCTAGCAAGCATTTTTAGAATCCATTGGCTTCACTCAGCTAGCTGCCACTGTGCTTATTTTTTTCTAAACTTTTTTTTACAGTTTTTAAGTACTTTAGTGTCAAGTTTTTGAGCAAAAAATACTCTGAATATTAATAACCAGAAGCTTCTATAAAGTACTTTTCTACAGTGGTACTAGGTGTGGTATTGTAAGAGTAGGATTTAAACAAATAAAGACCATTTAAAAGCAGCAGAAAGATTAACTTAATTTATTTTCTTGGAACAAAATGCTGCTGCCATTATTTGAAATCAAAACAATCAATATGATAGCCCAGGTAGATGAAACTTCTGAGTTATTAAAATCATTATCATTATTTTTATTATTATCACTTTTAGAGCTATGGCCAAGGTTAGTTCATAAAACTAATAAGTCATGGAAATTGTTTCTTCTTTTTTTTACTTTTTTATGTGAGAAATTATTTTCTTTACTAAACTGTGTCTATGGTCCTTCATGAGACTTCTGATGTCTTAAGCTTAGAAAGGTTTCCAAAGACTTAGTTTCCTTCTCTGAAACGGCAGTCTTAAACAGTCTACTGTGGTCTTAATCCAAAATGATTTTTACCATATTGACAGATACAATTAGAGTCTGAAGCCCAGCAGGAATAGTCAGAAAATAATGAATTCGTGGTGAGACTAATCAAATACTACTACCATTCTCTTTTTTCTTCCTCATCATCAAAACTAAGAACAGGGAAATAAAAACATGAGTAACAAATGACCTTTCCAGAGTCCAAAATGAAAATGGCCTTTTGACTTCTCCAGTAATGAAATCCAAATACAATGTGAAAAGAACAAATGGATCACTCAGCATATTGGTTTAATCCATTTTAGAAATGAAGGTCTTGCTCTCATGCAAGGTGAAAGAACTGGTCCCCAACCATTTCAATCAGAACTCTTGGTAAAACCCAGCAACCACAAACAAAATAAAGGCTATTTCCCTGCTCAGCCAATCATGTTTTATAAATGAAACACAGTTAATAACCACAACCAACAGTGTATATTCTGGTCCTGCTGCTGGTACATTAGTGGAGTTTTACTTAAAAACATATTCCCAACTCCAGAATGTCCTTGTACCAGTGGCTATTTCACCATCCCCTCATAAGCTAAATCATCTGCTTAGGCTTTACAAACTTAATTCTGAAATATTGACTTGGATATTAATAAGACTTCATAAAATCAGAATTATAGATAATTAGCATTGGAAAAGATATTAAAGGACATACCGTTTGTGATGGTTAATATTGTCAACTTGATTGGCTTAAAGGATGCAAAGTATTGTTTCTGGGTGTGTCTGTGAGGGCATTGCCAGAGGAGATTAACATTTAAGCCAGTGGACTAGGAGAGGAAGACCCATCTTCAGTGTGGGTGGGCACTATCCAATTGGCTGCCAAGGCTGCTAGAAAAAGCAGGTGGAAGAAGGTGGAATACACTGTCCTGCTGAGTCTTCCAGCTTTCATCTTTCTCCCATGCTGGATACTTCCTGCCCTTGAACATCAGACTCCAGGTTCTTTGGCCTTTGGACTCTTGGACTTAGCGCCAATGGTTTGCCAGGGGCTCTCAGGCCTGCGGCCACAGACTGAAAGGTGCACTGTCGACTTCCCTACTTTTGAGGGTTTGGGACTCAGACTGAGCCACTACTGGCCTCTTGTACCTCAGCTTGCAGACGGCCTATCATGGGACTTCATCTTGTGAACCGGAGGGGGGTGAATTCTTCTTAATAAACTCCCTTTCATACATACATATATCCTATTAGTTCTGTCCCTCTAGAGAACTCATTAATACACCATCCAGTGATTTTATTTTATTTATTGTTTGTTTGTTTTAGGCAGAGTCTTGCTCTGTCCGCCCAGGCTGGAGTGCAGTGGCTTGATCTTGGCTCACTGCAACCTCCGCCTCGCCAGTTCCAACGATTCTCCTGCCTCAGCCTCCTGAGTAGCTGGGACTACAGGTGCCCGCCACCATGCTAGGCTAATTTTTTTGTATTTTTAGTAGAGACGGGGTTTCACCATGCTGACGAGGCTGGTCTCGAACTCCTGACCTCATGATCTGCCCCCCCTCGGTCTCCCAAAGTGCTGGGATTACAGGCGTGAGCCACCACACCCAGCCCATCCAGTGATTTTAAGCTGTGAACTATTGACATGTGGGCAGGCTTCTGTAAATCCATGTTGATTCAGTAAAGGCATTTTATTTTATCTATTTTACCTATTAGCATGACAAACAGTATAAGATTCCCTTTGAGAAGAAGGTATACCCTAAACCAAAGTATGAAATTCATCCATCTAGTTCAACCATTTTATATTATATATGGGAAACTGAGACCCCTATCTGTTTAGTGACTGTGACTTCTAAGAGGCACACAGCTAATTAGCAGCTAGTTAGTATAACTCTGTTATATCCTTCCTGTTGCAAAAGACACAAACTCGAGTCAAATAGGCTTAAAAGAAGGAAATTTAGTTGACATATAAATGAAAACTTTAAAAGTAGTTTCAAACAAAGCTGGATCCAGATATCGAAAACTGACCTCCAGGTGTCTTTCCCGCTCTGTTTTTCGGTACCACTCTCCACCAGGTTGGCTTCATTCCCAGACAGATTCCGTCCACACAGTTGCCCTGAAGTGGCAATTTGAGGTCTACATCCATCAGCCTCAAGTCTGGTGGAAAGAGAGTGTCTGTTTCACAGGAGTTTCTTCACATTTGAACAAATATTGAGCCTCACTGGCTTTAATTACAGTACTAAACCAATCACTGTCCAGGGAGATGGACTATGTGGATGAACTAGGCTTAGGTCATATGCCTATGCCTTGAGCAGAAGGTAGCACGGGCCTACCTGAATGGATGGACCAAGGAGGAAGTGTGGTTCTCCTAATAAAAACTGAAGCTCCACTTCACTCCAGAAGAAGTGGCAATGGATGTTGGAAGAATAATAGCACAAAATATTCACTGCCCGTCCTCACCTGACTCCTGTCCAGAACTTCTCCACTAAGCCACTCTCCATTCTTAAAGGAGGATTGCAGTGGCACTATCTGATGAAAGGCAGTAACGGCAGCAGGAAAATGTAAGAAACAATCAAATGTCTCCTCTCTTCTTGTTCCATTCATTGCTCGTAAGAAAAAGTCTTCATCCCAGATGTCCTCAGGATGCTAGATGCCACCTGTTATAAGAAAAGCAGCTAATGAATTAACTTACTTTCTCCAATGAACTCTAACTTCTTCCTGGAGTGAGCCACAATTTGTTCCCTGGGCACTCAGTTCACACTTCTATTATATCACTTGCAATCTGACTCAACAGTTTTTCTGTTCTGAGTACACCTGTGCTCAAGAGCACCTCGGGAGCAGACATTCTTTTATTTATCTCTATAACATTAACACCACAGTGTTTGGCACATTCCAAAGGTTGAATAAATGTGGATTATTGTTGCAGGAATGATATATAACAACCTCCCCAAAATGAGTTCCCAGAACATAATCCTGTCAAATGTTCCAAAAAATGTTTCATAATCAGATACATTTTGGAAATATTGGACGCTACAAAACTTCTTAGAAATTCATGATTGGTGTTAGAGAAATGCAAATCAAACCATGATGAGACACCATCTCACACCAGTCAGAATGACCATTATTAAAAAGTCAGAAAAGAACAGATGCTGGTGAGGTTGCAGAGAAAAGGGAACATTTATACACTGCTGGTGGGAGTGTAAATTAGTTTAACTACTGTGGAAAGCAGTATGGTGATTCCTCAAATAGCTAAAAGCAGGACTACCATTTGACCCAGCAATCCCATTACTGAGTATATGCTCAGGAATGTAAAGCATTCTACCATAAAGACACATGCATGCAAATGTTTATGGCAGCACTATTCACAATAGCAAAGACATGGAATCAACCTAAATGCCCATTCATGATAGATTGGATAAAGAAATGTGGTACACACACACACACACACACACACACACACACACACACACACACACCATGGAATACTATGCAGCCACCAAAAAGAATGGCATCATGTCTTTTGCAGGAACATGGATGGAGCTGGAGGCTATTATTCTCAGCAAACTAACATCAGAACAGAAAACCAAATACTGCATGTTCTCACTTGTAAGTTGGAGCTAAATAATGAGAACTTAAGAATACAAAGAAGGAAAAAATGGGGTCTATTCGAGGGTGGAGGGTGAAAAGAGGGAGAGGAGCAAAGATAACTATTAGGAACTGGGCTTAACTCCAGTTGAAATAATCTGCACAATGAATTCCCATGACATTAGTTTACCTATGTAACAAACCTTCACATGTACCCCTGAACCTGAAATAAAAGTAAAAAAAAAAAATAATAACTAGAAAAATGAAAAGAAAAAGTAATTCATGATTGGTGTATTAGCATATCAGATGCTGTGATGTGTCTTGGGGTTAAAAAATGTGTTTGATTTTGTTTAGATTCGTTTGCAATATTCATAATTTATTTTAACTTAAATACTAATATCCAATGAGATCAATATTCCATGAAAGAAGACTTGAGGAAACACTACCTTTTTTCCATTTTTGTTGGGAGAAGGGGAAGCGTTTTTGCAGCAGCAATTTACAAACAATAATACTTAACTGAATAAGATAGCCCTCTCACTCACTCACTCATTCAGCCAAGCCTCTAATTTAGTGGGTGCCTACTCTGTGAGAGGAAGGATTTCTGCCTTCTAAGAGTCTATGATCTTTTAAATGGAAAGAGGCAGGTACATTTAGAAAAAAAGATGCAATGAAATGGTAAAATGTACTTCATCAAAAGTGAGTCAAAGCTGTAATGAAGGTATAAATTGAACAGAATTCAAATAATACTAAATCATCCTATTCTTACTAGAATTAGAGAAATTTCTTAGCAACACAAACTAGGGCGATGGCTGACATAATGAGTCTGGGTATCAAAAGCCATGTGATTAGAAAACTCAGGAATGTCAAGTCTGAGCAGGAATAGAAAACAATTTACCCTTTTGAGTAATATGCTTCCTTGAAATTTACATTATCTTCCCTTCTGATGGCTGTGTTTCCAGATGTCATATGGTCTCTGGGCTTCTACTCTAGAGTTTTGACGCTTTAGTGAGCTGTGCAAAATGTCCATCTTCCAGGGCAGAAACAAGGAAAAGAAACACAAAGGATCGTGTAAAGTTTCAGGAGCAATATGTGTAAAATTGCTGATTGCATATGCAGAAAATAAGAATCTGTGTTTCCTTTCTTACCTTCTTTCCTTCCTCTCTCTCCTCTTTCCTTTCTCTTTCTTTCTTTTTATTCCCTCCCTCCCCTCTCCCTCCTTCCTTCCTCTTTCTTTCTTTTTCTTTCTTTGAATACCAGTTGGCAAACTTCTATCAATATTTCTGAGTCGGAAATGAAGTAAAAATTTGGCTCACAAAATATTCCAATATCACATAAAAGATTTTTCCAGCTGAGCACAGTGGCTCATGCCTGTAATCCCAGCACTTTGGGAGGCTGTGGTGGGAGGATCATTTGAGGACAGGAGTTCAAGACCAGCCTGGGCAACATAACAACACCCCATTTCTGTTAATTAAAAAAGGGGGGTTCATCAAACAAAGCACGCACACATGTGTGTGTATGGGTGGTTAAATCGATAATAGGTGATTTGTTGATTCTTCAGTCAAAATATTTTAACATTTTTTAATCCATTTAGCATTTTCATTCAAAAACATTTTCAGGTTTTTTTTTTTAATAAAATGTGGCAAAAACATTTTCTAAATGCTTGCTCTGAACCAGAGGGACCGTGTCAAGCACTGCAGCTATAAAGAGAATGAGAGATGCAGTGCTGGCCAGAGTCCCAGTCCACAGCTCACAGTCAGGTGGGAGAAACCCACGATCATAATATAATAACTTGGTAATGTCTATAAATATAAATAACTGCAAACCTGGGGTGAGTCCGAAAAATCTCAAAAAATAAGGAACATTGAAGCTAAACTTTGAAGTAAAAGGAATAGTTTTTAAAAAAACTAAAATTTATAGAAGCTTCATTGTTGACAATAATTATGGAAATTGATTTTTAAACATTTTCTATAGAGCCACTCCAATATGAATCTCTGCTTTACTTTTCACTCCCTTGGGAATTTGTTTAATTTCCTTGCATTCCCAAGTCACCACAGGAACGGTTTTATGTTGGCACATTGGCATGTTTGTCTATCTTGGGCATTTTCTTTCTTTCATTCGGTTTTGACTTCACTTTTCTTGAACACCATGTGGCTGCAATAAACAAATGTAGCTCCTTAAGTGTTTCTGACAGGTTTGACGTGATTAAATCAACTTATGGAAATGTCTTGAGACAAGCTGAATGCTTTTTTTTTAAGAAAGTTACACGCGTTCTAAGTTGAGCAAGAGAATGTGAGAGGAAGACTAATATAAGATTGAGTTCTGTTGACTCTAAGGGAAAATGTATACCAAGAAAATGACAATAGTTCTTTAAAACCTACCAAGTCATGACATTCAACATCTGATACATATGAGCTAACAGAGCTTTAAAAAACTTAATTGCCTAAGTACTACATTCTTCATGCATAATTTTACAAATACAGGTAAACAAAAAGAATGAGAAAAACTTAAAAATCACTATAGTCTTAATGCCAAGATAACCACAATTATATTTTGGAGATGTTTTTTCAGATTCTTTTATATACATTTACTTGTTTGTATAAATATGTATTTTAACAAAAAATGGGTTCATATTATGACCTACTTTTTCCATTTAGTATTGGGCCATGAACATCTTTTTATAAATATATGTATTTCCACACCATCATTTTTAATATTTCTGTTTATTATGTAAACAATACATTATTGTCATTAATTTGGTATTTTGCAAATAGAAGTCACACTCCAATAAATATTAGTATGGCAATATCTTTACATATAATTTTAATTACGTAATATAAATTCCCATTAGAATTGCTTAAAGTATACGCTTTTGTCAGAAGTTTTTGAGCCATAATGCCTAATTCTTCTTCAGAAAAGTCCTGTCAGTGTAAACACCGTTCAGTAAGATACAATAGTGTTAATTTCTCCTCATTTTTGCCAACAACAAATATTAATTGTTTGGTCTGTATTTTGCCAATATGACAGACAACAATGATATTCATTGTCCTAAGTTTCATTTATTTGATTACTAGTAAAGCTGAATAAGTTTGTTTGTCTTTTATTTATTAGTTACATTTTTCTTCTGAGGGTTAACTATGTCCCTTGGAAATGTCCTATGAAAAGTTATATACTTTTAAAGGAGATACATGCTTTGAAAATTTCAGCAACGAAATGCTGTGCCAAAGAGTTTAAGTCATTATGTTCCCATATAACTTTTTCTTAGATAAGACGAATGATTTTTTTGTTTGTTTGTTTGTTTGTTTTTGTTTTTTGTTTTTTGGTCATTGCTTCCTGAGCTGCTACTGGGACATAAGAAAAGGGGAATTTCTTCCTCTTGTATTTCCTTGATATTCATTGACACTCATGATCTTGAAATTGTGGAACTAAAGGCCAGTTATTTGATGAAATGTCCTCAATTAGGGTTCGTCAGCCTTTTTCTTCATGGCTAGACTCAGGTTATTCATCTTTGGCAGGAGTGTCACAGAAGTCCCTTATTTTTTGAGATTTATCCGACTCACCCCAAGTTAGCAGTTATTTATACTTACAGACATTACCAAGTTACCATATTATGATCATGGGTCTCTTCCACCTGACTGTGAGCTATAGACTGGGACTGTGGCCAACACTGCATCTCTCATGTGCTCTCCCCTATGCATCATATCAGGCTCTATGTGGTTTTGATTTGTCACATTACTGAGGATGTCAACTGGATGAAAGCAGCAGCTCAGGTTTCCCCACTATAAAGTTATTCCTTTGTAATTAGCAAGTGTTTGGTGGGGAAGGATTTTGAGATTGTGTTAATATTATGTGCCTCATCAAAATGAATTAGTTTATTTATTTGTGACCATATGAACTCATGGATCCCAATTTTATTTAAGATATATGATTCATTATTATCTTTATTTAATTAATTCTCAAATTGTTCTGGATTAACCAAAGGGAATTCTTTAAACATGACTATGATTTCCCAGCACATTTTGAGCATTTCTTTATTTTTCCTGACAATAGGATATTCCAAGCTAGGCTTACACTTTTCTGGCCCTAGTCTGGAATTAGCTGTTCTTCAAAGACTCTTGATTCTTTCTGGCAGAGAATAGTCTTTAGAGGACAAGATCTGAGGAGCTAGGCTTGTTCACTGCTCTTGTGGTGTTGCTACTAGACTCTCTCATTGGACAGAAATGGAGAATATAGGTAGAATACACACACACACACAAATATACACACATAAAAACATTTACATCTAAACATCTTTCAATTTCTATGTATGTACATTGAAATTACAAGTTCACATTGACACTGTAATTCTAATTCAGCACCAGAGTGTATTCTAATTTTCACCCTTTCCATATTTGTAACTGTTTTCCAACATTGGGAAATTTGCTCTTGTTATCCTTAGATATTTACTGGTTTCACTTACCCTTTATGTAACTCAGCTCCCATTGCTGCCACGAACTTTTCCTTGTGTGAATGCCCTCATCACCCCACTCAAGGTATTACTTGGCTCAGGGCTCCAACACCTCACACTGGGGTGCCCATTTACACAAATGCCCTCCTCAACCTACTGAGGCTTTGATACCCCACTCCAGGCTTCCCTACTCTAGGGACATTCTTTGCACCTTTCCCTTGTTTCAATAATGCATGGCAACCTTCCTTCCTGTGGGTGATCTCATTGTTCTACTTAGACTTTGACCCCCAAATAGGGGTTCCTTTTTCACCCAACTGAGGTACTGATACCTTGGGCTAGGCAACCATCTGCAAGGAAGTCCTCTTCCCCCAGCCTGGACTGCACATCCTGGGCCAGGCAGCAGCCCTTCACCAGGACTCCCTGCTCACCTCACTTAGCCTGTAGCACCCTGACACTTTATGAGTTCAGACATCCTCACCACTGGGCTGCCTTACTACACAGACCTCTCTCTTTCCTCTGCACATTTTTCAGCATCCTACACTGGGCCACCACCTACCAACATGGACACTCACCTTATCCTGTTCAGGGCCCCTATAACCCTCCCAGGTGTGGAGACCCACCCTGCTGTGCCTCTCCTAATTGCTTTTGGACTGAATTGCTCAAGAAGAAAAAAAAGAAGAAAAAAAAAGGAAAAGGAAGAGGAATAATGGCATTTTAATGAAAGTGAATTTATAGAATTCTTACTCTGATGTTTTATCACTTATAAATGGACCTTTCCTTACACAGTGGAAATGTTCTTAATGTCATTAATCAAAAAGAAAGTTGTGGGGTTTTTTTCATTTTTTAAAAAATGAAGTAGTTGAAGACTGAGAATGATCAAATCTTTTATTCACTGGTGGGGAAAAAGGGACTCTGAAGGATTCATCTATGCTGGGCAAGTAGATTACATCAGAAGCAGATATTTTGTTCCTAGTGCCAATTTAGTAAATTTTTCTAATTCTAAGAAGTGTCTACATTATGCAATCATTCATATTTCTTAGGCTTTTTCTGGGTCACTGCTCCCTTTTGAGAATCCAATGAAAACTGTAGCTCTTTTCAGAAAAATGTATATACTGATTTAGACACACACACACACACACACACACAACTTGCAATCAAACTGTTTTATACAGAATAATTGACCTCCTAGTTAAGAACAGAAATAGGTATTTCAATAATGTCAATATTTGCCTACATAAATATAACACAGGCACTCAATCTTTGCAACCAAACTAAACTGGGCTTGAGAACAAGCTCTGCCACTTACTTGATTCATAACTTTGGCCTTAACTTCTCTGAGCCTTATTTATAAAATGGACATAATAACTACCTCCTGCCTGTTGTGAAAAATTGAGTTTATGTAGCATTTATGGTTGCTTAGTATGAGTTCATTTTTATTATATGACTATTTGGAACCATCTGAACACTTCACAGCATACTTGGCTTTTCACTGCATGCTTAGTCCATCCTGAATGGACTTTTGAGAGCCCAAGTTTATTCAGTTCCTGTCCTATTGGTCCTGTTGTCAGAAGGTATTTCCATACTGAGAATTTTTGAGCTATGAAAG